TAGCTTTCATAGCTCCCTGCTACCTACTGACCTGAAAACTCCTTGTTCTGCTGTGTCAGCCATATCTCCCACCACTACCCTCCCCATGCCTATACTTAGCCAAAGAGGACCATTTTGTTATTTAAATCACAAACCTGTACTTTCCCATCTCTGTTAGCAATTCTCCCAACCTTAAAAGAATGAGTGTTCAACGTCATGATAATGCTCCCATATGTGAATTAAGCATGTGCCCTGGTCCAATGGTAATGGGCAGGACTATGTCTCACTCTAGGTTGTAAAATTATGCCTGGAGTGTCTGCAGAAGCGGGAGCCAGTGTTTGCTGACACCACCTTGTACATGCTGAGGATACTGAGCATTGTTTCGGAGGTCCTCTCCTACCTGCAGGCCTTTGAAGAGGCCTCGGACTATGCTAGGAGGATGGTGGAAGGCTACATGTAGGTGACGACCCGGGGTCTCAGTCTCCTGGAAGTGTGCCTATTCCAGAAGTGGCAGATAGATGGTGCACATGCTGCTATCTCTTCTTCCTGCATCCACAGCAGGCATGAGTAATCGATCATGGTTCTGTTTATGACTGAGCCTTTTTATTATGGTGTTCCATGCAGTAATGACCAAACAATCAGAGCCAGTACTTGAATTGAAACCTATTTGTCATCCCTGGTCTTTCCCAAATCCTCCAGAACATCTATCCCTTGGATGACATTGTCTGCTTTTGATTTTCTTAAGGCTAAGTCCAACTTAATTTTAAGTGATGAGAACGCCCCCAACCCCAACACACCGAATAATCAACACAGGAAATTAATTCTGTGAGTTTTCTTTCATTATTATTATTATCTTTTAAAAGAGGCAGCAGTCATCCTTGCTTGTGAATTGTAAGATGCGACTCCCTTGCCTTCCCTCAGCCAATATCCTCTCTTGCCTTCTGTGACCACATTGTCATGTGAATTTGTGTTTCTGGCCAATGAATAAGTTGGCACAAGAAGGTTTGTTTCTTCGAGGGGATGTTACTCGTACACAAAATGCACATAAACTGTACAACATGCTACAAGGAAGCCCTCAAAAGAGAATGCCACGGAGATGAAAACAGAAGGCCGTCCCAAGAAGAACCTCCAAATTATTTTTTCCCCTTGACTTTCCTGTGACTTTCCCCAGAGAGTGCTGAGGTGCTCCTGAGAGGCCCCGGCTTCCTGTGCCCAAGCTCAGGGGACAATCCTGGTCCCTTTTCCCCTTGAGGACTTGGCTGAGTGGCCCAAGTCAGAATGCCAGCTCTCACGTCCTCACCGTGTGGGATGTTTGTCTCTGTGCCTCAGTGCCTCTTCAGCAGGCTGCAGACTGGGGGGAGGAGCAGATGGACTTAATGAACAAGGGCACTTTATAAGTTGTCAGATTATTTGCAGATAGATGTAAGTCTGGCTGCGATGATGCTCTGTGTGATGGTTTGCTATGCCCTACAGGAAGCTCTACCACCCCAACAATGCCCAACTGGGCATGGCCGTGATGCGGGCAGGGCTGACCAACTGGCATGCTGGTAACATTGAGGCGGGGCATGGGATGATCTGCAAAGCCTATGCCATTCTCCTGGTGACACACGGACCGTCCCACCCCATCACCAAAGACTTAGAGGCAAGTAGCATCTCGGGGCT